AAAGTACATGATAATTCTAGAAACGTTGCGTCACTGTAGTCATGTGACTGCTGACGCAACAGTTATTACAAACAAAGTTTCATAAACAGAAATAGTTGAACTATACCCTGGATTTAGTGTTTAGAAATATGCCGATATTTTATTTAAGTTACACTATTTTGCCAACAAGATTGATTCATCCCGTTTTTGTTTTGACACAAATACGTTTTAATATATATATACAACAGTATAAGTTACAATGGCAACTATTACGATTAGTTATTACAAACAAAGTTTCATAAACAGAAAATTCACCAACTTACAAATAACCTAAGATCGTCTTCCTAGTTCAGAGTTTCGTTGATATCCAGCGAATTAACTTGAAGTCGATGTACAATTATCGGGAATCTAGCTAGTTTTGTCAGGCATTAAATTCTTGGACCGTCCAAGTTAAATAATATTTTCGTAAAACCACTAATGTCCGATGAGAAACCAGCAATATTTTTAGACAGATTACTAACGGTTGATGAGAATTCACTGACGTTCGAAATTTATAACTGGGATAGAAAATCACAGTTTATAGCTTACATGGTTATAATAGTTTCCTAGTAGACTTGTCTTTTCTATGTTCTCTGTTTCTTCTTTGGCCTTGGTCTTTTTTTTTTATACGAACCGGCAATGTTTTCTCGAACGTTCGAACAATACCAGTAACGGAAGTGGATATAATGTTGATTCTTGTGTTCACGAATATTCTACAATCTTGGAGAATTGGCGGGAGTTTCGCCATATGTAACTATCACAGTAAGCTAGACACGCCCTCAAATATAAACTTATTCGAAATAAAACAAATATAACAAATTCGTTATAGCGACACATATCTGATACTACAAATCACGCGTATTTGTCAATACAAATTCAATCAAACAACGTTCATATTAAAAATAAATACATAATAACAAATTCGTTACAACAGTTTTATTTAAACAAAACATTATAAAATCTTTAAAAGTACAGAAAAGTTTAATCTGGTCATAAATCTAGATACACATTCTCCTTGGCTACAAACTATATTTTTAATTTTCTACACAATTGCCGAAAATAAATTCGAAAATCTTCTGACTGAACTATATATTATGCATAGAAGACATTGCAGACCCATTCAATAAATATTTTTTAACCTTCTTCTCTAGAGTGTAACTGTAATTATTGTATTTATTAATGAACCAAGGATATTAATATTTGTCTGTGTGGCAACTTGTTTGAGACTAACTGTTACTTTAATAGTTGAATGAATGAGTAGATTCTCACACTGGTATTGAGAGATGGAAAAACAAGTTTTTATTTAATACTGTAAAGCGTTAGAATTTGTCAAGTTCGTGAGAGAGTTTTGTCTTTAAATACATAAAGGCCTATAAAATTGGCTACAGATTGTCTATTAACTGTAAGGATTAACTTATAGAGTTATATTAATCACACATTTTTCATTAACTTCTTATGTTCATAGAATTTTAAATTATATTATCTTTAAATGTTTGAATGCCAAATGTACAGTGATATGTTGTTTATCGGCCCGGCATGGCCAGGTGGTTAGGGCGCTTGACTCGCAATCTGAGGGTCGCGGGTTTGAATCCTCGTCACACCAAACATGCTCGCCCTTTCAGCCGTGGGGGCGTTATAATGTGACGGTCAATCCCACTATTCGTTGGTAAAAGAGTAGCTCAAGAGTTAGCAGTGGGTGATGATGACTAGCTGCCTTCCCTCTAGTCTTACTCTGCTAAATTAAGGACGGCTAGCGCAGATAGCCCTCGTATAGTTTTGCGCGAAATTCCAAACGAACAAACATGTTGTTTATCTTATTTAAAATGTTTATTCGTAAATAAGGTATAATAATTAAGTAAGTTCCTATCCAGTAAACAAATAAACTATTAAAACTAATTCTTGGCCTACTTAGTTATGATTCAATACCAGGTTAGCAAAACATATAACTTCTTAGATTCATAGAATTCTAAATGATATTATCTTTAAATATTTGAATTTCAAATCTACAGTGATATGTTGTTTATCTTAATTAAAATGTTTATTCGTAAATAAGGTATAATAATTAAGTAAGTTCCTATCCAGCAAATAAAAGAACTATTAAAACTAATTCTTGACCTACTTGGTTATGATTCAATACAAGGCTAGCAAAACGTATAAGCATAAAAAATAAATGCAAAGGAATTAATAACTCGAGAAGAATATAGGGATAAAACATACTGGTTAAGCAACATTTCGTGAAAATGCTCTTTTGCATGCGTTAACGTGACATTGTGTAAACAGCTTTTTGCTTTTACTAAGTTCAGGAATAATAAATTATTTCACTAAGGTGTTGTTTTTTGTTTGTTGTTGCTGTTGTTTTCACAAATAATTCCACATATTGAAGTGTATATATATATATACGTAACAAGTTAAAATTAAAATTTCCTTTTCGACTTTATTTCCTACTCATGGCTAAACCTTGATTTCAAGTGTTACGTATTAGAATTTCAAATGGTCTGAAACGGAGTTAATTGATACTTTAAATTTAGTAGTTAAATTGTACTTTGGATTTAGCAGTTAAGTAAAAGCCGATATATAGTCAGATTATAATATTTGCCAACAAGATTGATACACGCGGTTTCTTATATACAAATATATTTTAATATATACACACAACAGTACAATTTACAGCAATAGTTATACAATGATTTATAAACAAAAGTTTCACAAACTTACAAGCAATATAAAATATTTTTTCCTAGTCTGGAACTTCTTCCATATCCTATCGAGGATTCACGATGAACTGGTTGATTACGAGTTGACGTAGGTATTAAGTCGTCAAGAAATTAATGTTGCGGTTTGGAACACTTTCATTAATCATCCCCCAAAAAACGTACATCACGTATAATAGTTAAACGAACCGCCTAAACGTCAGGTTAGTGTAGCCTATATAATGTGTGTAAAGTTTTGTATACTCTAATTCCGCTACAAACGCCTGACGCCACGTGGTCATCCACCGAAAGAATGAAAACTTCCAAAGTCACAACTCGGCAAAGCTCTCCTTCTTTCTTCCCTTTCTCTTCTTCGCCAAGTCTCCTCGCAGCTCTTCACTCGTGTAAGCATTT